TTTCTTCATTCACCGGATGGTCATTTGGGGTGCTCCAGGTTCAGACTCTTGTTAAGCCACTCTGAACACACATGGATATAGGTTTTCCTTTATCTTGGGTGAGTATGTACTTAGGAATGGTATTTCTGGGCATATGGTAAATGTAGCTCGAACTTTATTCCAAAAACAATTTTTTTTGAATTTTAAAATAAAACTGCCAAACTGTCCTCTAAAGTGACCGTGCCGTTTTGCACTCCCACCACTGGCTTGTGAGCATTCTAACTCCTCCTCCGCTTCACTCAAACTTGGTCTTGTCAAAAGTTTTAATTTTAGCTGTTCTGGTGGGAGGTTAGTGCTGTCTCACTGTGGCTTCAATTTGCATTTCCTGCTGACGAAGGATGGTGAGCATATTATCCATTTTGGGGCAGTTCTGGGAATTGATCTCCACACTGAGCTACAGCCCTTCTCACTTTTTATCTTGAGGCAGGGTCTCACTAAGTCACTAGGTCTAGGCGAGGCTTGAATTTGCAATCTTCCTGACTCAGCTTCCCAAAGCCCTGGGATTACAATCAGGCAGCATCACGCCCAGCCCTACCTTACCCACTTAACAACCAACATAAGAGGAACAATGGTACACAGACTGGTTTTTAGATATCTGAAAAAAGGATGCAGCAAGGCAGTTGGGAGTCTCTACTGCCCAGTGTAGCCATCGTAAGAGGGAAAGCATATTTTGCTAGTAAGCTTAGGTGGATTCCAAACACTTTTCAGGTGGGCAACATTTGGCAACCGATGTCGAGTGCCTGAATTAGATCCTCCACTTCATCCCTTTCTCTTTTTGTAAAACCCAAAGCATCAGCTATCTTCATCTTTTTTCCCTTTCTTTCTCCATTTACTAGTTCTCAGAGTGCTACTGAAGGAAAACAGATCACCTGGACCCATGTCCGGTTCCTGTGCAGTCACTGGCTGCTCGTCCCTGCTGCCCCCGCTGTGTCCAGCATGCGAACTCCATTCCTTACCGTCCCCTTAAGCTCTTAGTTTTGACCCAAAGAAAATTCAGTGGATAGCTATTTATTAAATTTATGCTTTAGAGACATTTTTCATATTTGGAAATACTTTTATGGTACTTTCAAGCAATATTTCATTACGATTACTTGCTGTACACAACCAAGAAATGCAATGAAAATAACATGAGAGAAAGTAAAACATCTATCATTTCTGCTATCCAAAAATTATACTGTTAACTTCCCATATTTCTTTTCAGGGTTTTTTTGTCCTCATACAGCTTTAAGACATAAACAAAATGGCCAAATTCAATAGTCATTTGTTATTGTTTGGCCTGAGATATTCTTGTTATTTATTGTGATGACATATAGGATATGACTAAAAAACATCATGAATGTTTAATTTTAAAATATACTACAGTAAAGGACACCTACCCATCAATCTTTCAGAACTCCCTCCTGCTTTGTACACACTTACCCCACTTTCTGGAACAGTTCTGAAGTCCTCTTTTAGAGGTGCCTGTAGTGGCCTATTGTGGCTGCCTCAATGTCCTGAGTCACCTCCAACATTTACCTCTCATGGCCATTTTGACTTTGGGGAAGAGCCTGAATTTACACAGTGCCAGGCCTGGTGAATAGGGTGGATGAAGACACACTGTAATTTTTTTCTTTTAAAGGGAATAAAACAGAACAGTAAAATGAAACAAAACAAAACAGTGATAGGACAGTAGGAAATCCACAATTGTTACTACATTGCATATTGTTATCCTCTAAATAGTTACTCAGACTACCACCCTGGGCCTGCACAGCCAAACAGCACAAATGTCAGGTTGTTTCCCTTTTCGGTTATCATCTCAGTTTGTGTTGCGTCCGGTTGCTTATGGGTGAGAAGTGAGGGGAAGGGAACTTCCGTGCTGTTCCTCCCACTGGCAGGGCCGCTGCAGGTGCACGGGGTCGGGGTGGGGCTGCACAGCTTTCTTACGGTTCTCCTCGGCCCGCGGGGCTGCTGACGGCGCATGGGGGATGCATGGCTCTCTTGCAGCTTTGCCCCAGCCAGGAGGCCCTCTGCCAGTACACATGAAGGCCACTTGGCTTTCTTGCTGCTTCTCCCTGTCTGGCAGGGCCGCCACCTCTGGTTTTATTTTTGATGGATTCCTGTGTTCTCTCTCTGCATGGGCTTCAGGTCTCTGTTCAGATCCTTCCTGTGTCCATGGGACCCACCTCTCTCCTCCTTCTCTTCCCCATGCTGCTATATTCCAGGGTCTGGACACCAAACCTTGGAGAGGTTCTTTCCCTGCTGCTCATCACTCTGCCGTTTTCCTAGATTCTCATCATGTTTTCACAAACCTGCCTTTCTGTTGCATGGCACTTGACAGCAGCATTCACGCTGTTTTTTATCGTATCTTAGAAGGACACAAAAGATAACTTCCAGAACTGTCCCAGAAAGTGGCAAAAACTAGGGGATAAGTATGTTGGAGAGCAATATTTTAAGAAGGATTAGTGGCAATAAATATGCTCCTTTAGTAAATATTTTACTGTACTAGCTGTTTTAATGTAAATATCCACCATACATTTTGATCACTCCTTGTGCCTGCTGTTCTCTCAGTAGGGTACTAACCAACTGCAAAGGAGAAATGAGGTGACCTGAGGCAGGCACTTACCAACATGGGCTGTTGCCAGAACTGTTGTGCCATAGCCCAAGGCTGTGCAGATCCCCAGCAAGGACTCAGTGATGGGAACACGTTCAGTCCCCTGCTGCATTTGAAGGCTGTCTTCTGGGGGTCACCCTCCCTAGAGGGTGATAAAACCTAAAATGTGACCTAGAAAAAAAGTGTAGGAGGCAGAGCAAAGATGGCCGACAGATAACAACTGGCTACAGAGGCTCCCTGAGATAGTCATCTTAGAGTTCAACATAACACAGAGTGGGGAGCCTCAGAGGGAGATGAATTCTCTCATCCCAAGAAGAAATTAAGGTGACTTGCCGACCATCCGAGGTCCCGCCACGACTTGCCAAGCCGTCTGAGGTCCTGCCACTTCGACTCACTGAAGGCACAGTTACATTGAGTTTGGGGGTCAGCAAGCCCAACGGAGAGCTGAGTTGGCAGGGTGCCTACATTGACCTGTGGTGAGTGGTGGGAGTTGAGCCATTCCATAAATAGGGGGGCTCCGGCGGATGACATTCTGGGACCGGCAGGACTGGCAAGTACAGGGGCAGCAGTGACTTCAGTCAATTGTTCCCTTTCCCAACGGGATTGGTTGAGTGAGCTAGGCCTGGATCACATGACTTGGCTGAGACCCAGTAGGTTATCCGAGGTCAAGTCCCTGCAGCAGTGGTGCACACTAACTACACTGGCCCAGTGGGGCCTTGGAGGTTTGGCTGGCCCGAAGGGGAGGCGGAGCAGTGATACAGTGCAGGCCACAGCAGCTTGACTGATCTGGAGGGGAGGGGCCAGCATACACTGTCCCTGTCTGCAACTCACCAGCACACTGCAATGTGAAGGGTCATCTAGCCAGCGTGCTTAAGAATTGTAACCAAAAAAGAAAGAAACTGGGGCCTCCTGGAAGAAGCAAAAAAGATGGGAAGAGGAAGCAACAATAAAAAGTCCCCAAACCCCAACCCTGAGAACATTGACCCAGGACAGGTAAATACAAAGGAGAATGAGAACAGCAAACATGCAATATCAGACATAGCACTGGTGGACATAAAGAGATATATTCGGGGCCTCATAGGCGAGTTCAAAAGTGAAATATTTAGCCAAATAAAGAAAGATATAAGAAGATTAATAAAAGAGATACAAAGCATCCCTCAAGCAGACACAGACAGAAGAAGGGAGGAACTCAAACAAAGGAGAGATCCATTTGGTGAAGAATAAAAAAAAAATATGGAATACATGAAGCAGATTCAAAGAGATCACCAGGAAATTAAAAACTCTAGGGAAAGATGGCAAATCAGCTTGAAAGAAAGTAAGGATAGATTATCCAAACTGGAGGACAATTTTGCAATGTGGGAATATGAAAGGGGGAACTTTTAAAAAATAACAAGGAAACAATCAGTAACAACACAGAGGCTAGAAGACAACAAAAGGATCTATAACTTGAGAATAAAGAATGTGAATGAAGAAGCTGGAGTACAAACAATGGAACTATAAAGGTTATTCACAGAAATAATTAAGGAAAACTTCCCAAACATAGGAAAAGGAAATGATATTCTGATATATGAGGCATACAGAACTCCAGCCACCTACAACCAAAACAGAGCTACACCCAGGCATATAATAATCAAGATCCCAGAAATTCAATATAAAAACAGAATATTAAAAGCTGTTAGAGACAAGAAACAGATAACCTATCGAGGAAGGCCCATCAGAATAACAGCAGACTTCTTGACACAAATCATCAAGTCAGGAAGAGACTGGAGTGAAATATTCCAAGCCCTGAAAGAAAATAACCTTCATCCCAGATTGATATACCCTGATAAACTGTTTCTAGAAATTAATGGAGAATGGCTGGGGGTTTAGCTCAGCAACATAAATGCCGGTCTGGCAAACGTGAGGTTGTGAGTTCAATCCCCGGCACCAAAAAAAGAAAGAAAGAAAGAAAGAAATTAATGGAGAAACAGGATGCTTCCAACACAAAGAGGAACTTGGGAAATTTGCAACCACCAATCCAACTCTACAGAGAATACTGCAGGGCATTCTAGAGAGAGAGAAAAGTACTGGGATTCCAGGGACAGTGGCAGAGAGGCCTCAATGAATGGAGCAGAAAACAGAATAAAGAAAATAAGCAGACAACTGATGGCAAAAAAGAGCATAACAAAAATGAGGCAGAGAAGATTTTATTCAAAACTGATATGATTGATAGTATCAAGTCTGAGAGTATAGGCAACTACACAGAAGATGACAAGACTCTATGATACACATTCTGGTTTGATAAATGCTGGTTTTTGAAGTTCTATACTATATAAAAAGTTGTGTTTTTATTAATACTGTTATGTACTGATATATTCAATCATACTATGTCTGATGATATAGCCAACTTTATTGGAGATAACAAGAGACAACACAGGAACCATGGTAGAACTCTTTGTACAACGGTCTTATATGTTTGTTTCATTTCATGCGTTTATAGGAATATGCTTTGTTTTGTCTTGCTTTGTTTTATTTCTCCAATATAGAAAGGAAATACACATTAAGACTCATGCATGTGTAGAATCTATAAACAGTTTATGACAACTGATCTTATGACATATGATGAAATAAACAGATACTTTTAAGGAAAAAAAAGACACTAAAATACCCAGTGCTGATCCTGGAGTGTCATAATGTGAAACCCAGCAATAGTATTATTCTTTGTTCAGAGTGATATTAGCCTGCTTGGGTTTATTCAGTCTCAACATAATTGAAGATATGGATACTGCATGTATGTTTAAGTGCACAGGATTGATAACCATATTTCTAAGTTTTTGTTGGATAGTTGCACAGAACTGGTTGCAATCTCACTGTTTGAATCCCCACTTTATATGCTCCACTTTAGTATCTTGAATAACTATTTGTAAGAAGACAATCTATAATCATCAACTAGTGATTTCTTACTGTTTATTTTTTCTTTGAAATTATGTATTATTTTTACCTGTTTTCTGTTTTTAGTCTTCCTTTAAATTAAATTTTAAAAAAAGACACTACAGTATCTAGTGCTGATCATGCAGTATCATGATGTGAAATCCAGCAATACTATTATTCTTTGTTCAGAATGATTTTAACCTGCTTTAGTTTGTTTAATCTAAACATAAATGAAGATATGGATAACTGCATGTATGTTTAAGTGTATAGGATTGATAACAATGTTACTAAGTTTTTGTTGGACAATTGAACAGAACTGTTTGCAGCCTCACTGTTTGAATCCCCACTTTACATGTTCCATTCTTGCACCAATATGTAAACATCAATTAGTGATTTCTTATTGTTTATTTTTTTCTCTGAATGTATGTATTATTTCTACCTATTTTCTGTTTTGTTTAGTCTTTCTTTAAGTAAAATTAAAAAAAGAAAGTATGGAAAAGTTTTACTTAATTCTTTAGGTTTATTCCAAAGGAGAAAGGCGAAGACACACAAATCTGTACTTGGATGACATTTTTGAAATCTCAGACAAGGACAGATCACTCTTCACAGTTAAAATTTACAACCAGAGAATACTAATCTTTGTGATTTTTTCTATATTGGGATTGAATCCAAGTTCTTATCCTGGGTTACATAAGCGACTTTTTGTGTTTTTTATTTTGAAACAAGATCTCACTTAATTGCCCGGGTTGGGTTCAAACTTGTGATGCTCCTATCTCAGCCTGCCAGAGTACTGGGATTACACGCATGCCCCACCACACCCAGGTCTGTGATCCTTATTTTAAGTGCCATTGGACACTGAGATATCACCAGGTTACCATGAGTCCCAGTGGAAGGAGGCACAAAGCAATGTGCAGGATGCTACTGACCGTAGCTTTGGGGCAGCCCTTCTTCCGTACCCAAGGTGGACCTGAATGAGGTAGTGGAACTGAGAGCTGGGGTTGTTAGCAGCCAGGACAGTGACTTTCACCTGCCAGAAAAGCAGAACCAAAAACTGCCGGATTTCCTCTTAGTACAGCCCGTATCTTCCAGGAGGATGTACTGCAGCAGTTTTGCCAACTGCACTGAAATCCGGGGGAGACGTCAGAAGATGAACAAGGAAGTAGATCTAACTCAAGAGACTAAAGGGTATGAGACTGGAAACTCCGGGTCTTATGCCTCTAAATGAAGCCTGCGTAGAATCAGCTGATCAGGCCTTGGGCTTCCAAATCCTCCTACTTAGGTAAAGTTACCAGGAATCATAAGTTACCCAGCTAAACTTGAGTGTTAGATAATTAATGAATAACTTGAGACATACTAACAACCAAATGCATTTACTATGTACTTAACTTAAAATGCAAATAAGACTATGAAATTTTTATTTATCAAAACTGGCAAGCTCTTATTCAGGACAACAAAGAAATGGGTCCTCTGTATTATACAATTTCCAAATGTAAGGAAATATAAGAATAAGAAATATGTAAAACAGAATTTAAGAAGTTGCCAAAGAATATTTTCTTTTATGTTTCTTTTCCTTTTTTGCACTGGGAATTGAACTCACAATCTTGTGCTTGCCGGGCAGGTATTTATGCCACTGAGCTAAGTCCTCAGCTCTGCCTTAACCTCTTTTATGTTTCGAAACCAGGTTTCTTTCTGGTTTCTCGTATGTTGCAGCAGTGATAATAAATTACAATTTGACTTGCACATAACTATCCTGTCTAGCTATAAGGACAAACTTGCATTTGATTTCAGTTAAGATCTGCAGGTGTTTTCTTTTTGTTCATTCCTAACCTAAATGAGGATCTAACTATGACCAAGAGTTGAGTTCTTGGGTCTTAAGATAACAGAGAGATGGAAATAAATTTAAAGATAAATTCCACTTGAAGTTCTATGTCACCTCTGCTTTCACTGAAGGTCAGTCTTTCCGTGCTTACTTAACATGGCACAGCCCAAAGGTGTAAAAATGTAAAAAGTAAAATGTAAAATGTAAAAATGTAAGCTGAGCTCAGGGCTTTTGCAGGGAGAGGTGAGTCCCTTGCAAAGCCACTGGCATATAAAGCCACTTTCTCCCACTGCATGTGGGAGTGCTTTGTTCGGGAACCCCACTCTTCATGCTACAACCTGACCTGGAATATGTAAGAATCTACTATCATATATACGTGTGTATATGTGGCCCAGGCTGGACTGGAACTCACAGTGATCCTCTTGCCTCAGCCTCCCCGAGTGCTGGGATGAGAGGCACGGGTGTCATAAAAGAGATTTTTTGGGGTGGTATTGGGGATTGAGTCCAAGTCCTCATACACGCTAGGCAAAACGCCCTACCCCTGAGCTACATAGCTAATCCCACTAACATGCTTTTCACTACAGAAGCTCTCGTTAACAGGAAGTTTGTTTCCTCTTACCCACAACACATGTAATACTTGTAAGATCTTACAGCTTGTGTTACTGCTTTTCATATGGCATCTAGAATCCTCTGATTCCTGCTGTGTTTGAAAGAAGAATCACAAAAACCGAGGCACAAGCCCGCTCACCCCACAGACCCGCAGCCCCGCCCCTCCGGGCTGACTCGCGCTTCTGATTGGCCGGCTGCACAGAATTCCCAATGCAGCGCACAGAGCTGCGCGAGCAGGGCCCTGCTTCTCACTGGGCGTCCGTCCGTCAGTTACCCTTCGAGCCCTGCTGTTGCAGTCCTGGAAGCAACACCGGTGACAGCAGCAGGACGGAGACCAGGAGACCAGGGTGGCACCTGCCGGGCGGTCCCACTTCTGTTCAACACGGCGGCAGCACGCAGCGGGAGCCCATCCCCCACTGCAGGGCCTGGTGTCAGCACCCAGGAGTACCCCTCCTCTCAGGATAAGGAAGAGCCCGGGCTGTGCTTTCCTGGGACAAAATCATCATGAGGACCTTTCTTCCCAAGGGCCTATACTGCTGCTGTTGTTTTACAAACGAGGAGATGACAAAGCCTAGAGGCACAAAGGTGTTGGAAGGAAGTGACCCGGGACCTCGCCCTGAGCTCCGCACTTCTGTTCTAATAAGGAACAGTGCTCTTTTGATACCTGAGAAGCCAGGTCTAACGATTGGAGTGCTCCAACTGAGTTAGAAAAGTGAAATCCTCACACACCTAAGGGAGTAGGCAAGAAAAATGCAAGGACAGAAACACAGTGGCTCTGGGACAGCGCTCTGGGCTGCAGCCCTTTTTCTATTTCTAGTTTTGAGAAGAAGCCTTGTTAAATTGCCCAATGGGAATCAGCCTTGATCCTTCTGTCAGCCTCCCAGAGTGCAGGGATTACAGGCATGTGTCATCATGACCGGCTCTTTAGAATTCCCACATTTAACATTTACATTCACAGGAAATACTTTTCATTATACCTAGGCACTGTTACACATCTCAGTAAATTTAAACTATTAATATATGTCTCAAAAATTCTTTGTTTTTTGAGACAGGTTGGCTTTGAACTCACTGGAGAGCCTGGACTGGCCTTGAACTCGCAGTGATCCTCCTGCCTCAGCCTCCGAAGTGCTGGGATCACAGGCATGTGCCACCACTGTTGACCTGTTGAACATCAGAGTAGCAGTGGAGGAGGTCAGACACTGAAGACTCAGAAAATGGGTTCTGGAGAATTGCGTTTTGGATCTTCCCAAGGGCCACCAAGCACATTTACACTATGTCTCCTGCCTGTGTTGAGAGGAAAATACTTGTGTCAGTGAAGTAATGGTTTTGAGAGCACAAAATGAAATGGATTTTGACAGAGAAGCCCAACTAGAGCTGGGGGTAGAGCTCAAAGGTAGAGAGTGGAGTGCTTGTCTACCATGTGTGAGGTCTGGGTTTTATCCCCAAGCCGGGTATTCTCTCAAATGCCGCCACCTTTATTTATGCACAAGGAGTAGGAGGCACAAGTAATTACCAGGAAGCAACTTTGGAAATATGCAGGGATCAAGAGTGTGCTGGCTTCTGATGTTATTTGGGCCTGTACCACCGAACCTATGGAAGCCATGGATCCCTTTTGTGTCCTGGGAGTTCCTAGAAAATTCATGAGAGGCAGTGATTTGATAAATGAGCATAAATGCACACATCTGAGAAAGTCACTATTGATCAGTTCATGCACTCTTCAAATAGAGGTAACATTACACTTGCTAATAGTTGAATTTGATCTCCACCAAATAGTTTGACGGTGCTTAATTCTGCACAGGACACAAAGTCCAGATTCTCCTTTTCTGTTTTTCTTACTTCCTTTCTCCTACGTATTCCTTCTCAGTTGTTTTCTACTTGCCTGAGCTGGCGTTGGGGAGCTAGGATGAAGAGGCTCAGTGTCTGCAGGACCTGACAAGCTTCCTGTAGTTGGTCCGGAGCTGCAAACCAGGAATTGCTCTGCCAGAGTTTCCTGCTGTCTCTCCCAGGGCCTATGGGGAAGAAAGAGTTTTGTCAACATTACTGTATATGCCAGGCATGGTGATACATGCCTTAACCCCAGCACTTAGGCTGAGGCAGGAGGATCACTGGGGGTTTGAGGCCAGCCCAGGCCACATAGTGAACCCAAGGGCAGCCTGAATTACACAGTGAGTATCCGCTGCCTCAAAAAGAAAAAAAAAAAAAAAATCTCTCTGTGGTGTATGATGATCCCAGGTTCACCACTGACTGATACATTGTTTTAACCAGAGCTGTCCTTTGATAACTTCACCAGCTTTATGAAGGAGCTACAGGCTCTCTGAAAGTTTCAGAAACTTTCCTGCAAATGATGGAATTTAATCCCACTTCCTCCATTCATTAGAAAACACGAATAACAAAGTTATGCAATGATCGACTCAACGGTAAATGAATTCAGAGGTACCAGTTTTTGAAATTAAGCTTAAGTCTCACCGCAATGACCAAAGGCGAGAGAAACCTGGAAACCAAAATAGCAGAAACAAACTTTTCTGTTCAGAAGCACGTTTTCCCCCTCAGATTTCTCCACGGTGTGTTTCTCTCTGTTCAGGAGCTCTGTGCAGCTGGGGTGCAGCTCCGCGGCAGAGCACTTGCCCAGCTTGCACAAGGTTCTGGGCCCAGCTCAGCACTGGGGCAAAAGTTCACCTTCTAGCAGGAAGTACTTCAAAGGCCACCAAGCAGGGTGTCGTGGCAGAAGCCGCTCTGGAAGCAGAGTATAAGACAAGGTCATGAAGCCGACCGGCTATAGTTTTAGAACCAGAAGTCCAAGCCTGAGGGCTCTCTGCCTGCAGGCCTCCTGGTTCCTCTCTGCAGAGTCCCCTCCAGCTCTGAGTCACGTGGGGAAGAGGCCTACTGTGTGCCAGGAGCTGCTGTGTGAGAGGCAGGAGTGGAGCAGTTAAAGTGGTCCTAATCCCCGCCCCTCTGGATCTCACAGTTTAACAGGGCGACCCTGACTCAGTTACAAGCACTCTGCGGACAGAGGGCCGTGTAATTGTGGTTTTGCATTTGCGGACTGAGGTATAAATAAGCAGGTCTGGAGATATAGCCAGGAATAGCTGCTGTTCGGTGGCACATCCGCCACCGCAGGTCCAGCCTCACTGGCTGCACGCCAAGGTGACCCATGTCACCTGTGATGCCATTTCTGAAAGCGCTGAAGGAAATGAGCCAGTGGGTGGCAAAGGTCTTGGACGCAAAGATAAAAACATGTAAAGGACAGGGCTGAATCATTAAGGTCCGTTTCCCAAATGGCCCTGAGATGCACATATCCTGGAGACACCTTGACAGGCCCTTTGTCAAAGTGACCTGTGCTCAGATGCGACAGAGAGTGGGGCTATTTTCCCACCTTCCGGTGTCAACCTGCGTCCCTGTGCCAGGTCAGACTTTCAGTTCGTTATAAGGCATCGTCCAGGGCACTGGAGCATGCAGGGAATATCCCGAGGCCTCTGTCCGAGTGGGGGACAGAGCAGGATTCCAGCGTGGACTGAGTGCTGGGAGGAAAACGAGGGGGTGGGCAGGCCCAGGTAGGTGGGCTTCAGATGCCTCGGAGGGCAGCGCACCCAGAGGTGAGAGAGGGAGCGCGCTGTCTGAGGAAGAGCGGGAGGGAGAGCCAGGGTGGTGACAGTGGTGATGAAGGCAGGTGAGAGGCCCTGACCTGTTCTGCAGTCAGCAGCTCTAGTCTCGTCCCTTCTGGGAACATTTCAAAGGCTGCTGGGTTATTTTTTTTTTTTTACTATTTTTTTTTATCGGTATCAGGGATCAAATTCACGACCCTGTGCTTGCAAGGCAGGTGCTTATGCCACTGAGCTAAATCCCCAGCCCCTGCTAGGTTATTTTTACAGAACGCGGCCTGTGAAATGTAAGGGACTGTTATTTCAGATTTGTTTTCTTTGCACGACTCAAAACAATTGGTGAAGGGCAGTCAACACTGGATTAGAGAAATACACAAATCTGTATTTAGGTAGCCACGCAAAGGTCCATACAGGGCGGGAAGGAAGATGGCTGAGAAGGCCCAGAGATTATGCAGCCAGGTATGATCTTTGTTTGCCTTTCATTGTGGTTTCCCTCCTTTTTTGTTTTCTTTTTCTTTTTTACATTTTATTGTATGTATTTTTGAAAGATGCCACAGGCCATTTTGTCTGTCTCACTATGTAGCCCAGGCTGGCCTTGAACTCACATCGATTCTCCTGCCTCAGCTTCCTGCAGGCTGGGATGACAGGCATGCATCACCACACCCAGCTGCCACAAGTTCTTTTGTGGAATAAATTAGAGAACAACCAACTAACAAATAAATATGAAAGCCCAAAGAAAGACTTTAACGTTTTCTTTCATAAAGCTCCCTTCAGCCCAATTCTTCCTGTCCTTGAGTATTTTCTGTACTAGAACCCATATCCAGAGCATGCTGCGGGGCAGAGTGCAATTCTGGCATGCTCTACCAGGCATAAAGAGGAGATTAACATTCCAAATATGGACTGTGAATGTAAATACTCACGTGATCTGCAGAGCCACAGTGACATGAGGATGAATGATTAATGGCTCTTATAAAATTAAGAAAGTAGATTAGGTTCTTTATTAATAAATTGAAGCCACTTGGAAAAGGATTGTTCCTAAGATCTTACCAGGTTGTTTACTTTCTCTTTCCACATTGTTCATTGAAAATTGCGTGACCAGAAGGCACCGTCAGTGTGCTAACAAGCCAGCGAGGGCTGCTTCCTTGTGAGATAAGCTTCTGATCACAGCAAGCCTTCTGCCCACGCAACTTCTTCTAACTTCTCTCCTCTCCAAGACTAAAGTGTGCATCTAGCAGCAAAATTGCTGCCACCAGCCCTGGACAGATTTTGTGATGCTCTTCAGATTAGGCACCATAGCCTTCTATCCAGGCGAAGGAGACGGGGGTAGGAGGAGCTGGAGTCTGAGTCAAAAGACCTGGGTGCCAGGGCTAGTTTTGCCCCCCCCCCCTTATAATTACTAAGCTTTGAGCAAATGACTTAACCTCTTAGTAACAGTGTATGATTGTGTGAAAGTTAAAGTAATACACAGAGTTGATGTTTTGTTTGTTTGAGACAGGGTCTTGCTATGAGTGCAGGCTGGCCTCGAACTCAGTGATCCTCCTGTCTCAGCTTTCGAAGTGCTGGAATTACAGGTGTGCACCATCACTCCTGATTTGGAGTTGGACGTTTAATAGTAACATTTAGTTCCAAACAGCTTGGAGTATAGTTAATATAAATCATCTCCCTGCTTTTAAAAAAATTCATAAAAGTAGAAGACGATGAAAAGTCACTGTGATATATAAACTCTGACAAACTCATGCCAGAATTTAGGAGTGACGGAGACCTTCCTTTAACCAAAGCTCAGACTCCTCTAAGTCTTTTCATCAAGACCTTGAACTTGGCCCTGTCCTTGCAAGACCCACATAGCCAAATTTTCACCAGAATCTTAAGTCAGTTTAGAGAGCTTGTCTTCCATGACATCTGACAACTTTCACATCTGACCAGGTTCCTGATCCTCTGTCCATGACATTTGATCTTCCCAGGTTGCTCCAGCATGAATCCCCTGCCCTTGATGTATGTTATGAATTGAGAACTGGTGGTCAACTTAATGCCAGCTGGATTACATCAGCATGCATTGAGCGAAGGTGCTCCACCTGAAGAAAGTTGCCAGAATAAATAGGTGGAGAAGAAGGGAGGTGTTGAGGGTTGAGGTCTTAAGGAGGTATTGTTGGTTCTCCTGGAGAAGCTTTGGTCCTCACATCGAGCGTTGCTTCTGGCTCCGGAGGGGAAGACATGTGCTGCTTGGTCTCCAGGATGAAGTTGTTCCCGCTGCTTCCTGGCACTTACCTGATTTGTCGGAGGAGGAGCTTGGAGCCTCGGTGTCGCTGAGGATGGCTGTGGTGCTTTTCAGGACAGCCCCGCTCTTTGTTGTGTGTGACTTCTTAGCTCCAGCGTAGAACCTCATCCCACTAGCACAGCTCCTTCATCTTGCTGGCATAGACTTTCTGGTTTCCACTGCTGACCCTTGGGTCTTCCCAGCACGGATCCGTAAAAGAGACTAGCGTGAGTCCTTGTGGGCTCTGGACCTCCAGTTGGTCTCATGGGAGGCATTGTCTTGAGCTCTGGATTTTTATCTGGACTCATGTGGGACATTGCTGTGGGGTTTAGGCCCTTGACTAAATAATCTATGTCTTTGGTGTTGCAGATAGATTTCCTGCATTTTCCTGTGTTAACTCCCAGTAACCATTATAAAAATATTATAAACTCCATGTCCTGAACCTAACTGTTCTGTGTACAACCCTTGACTATGACAACGTATCTTCTTAGCAACATTTCATCTGTACCCTGACCCCAGCTTGCAGCCTGCTGCCTGCCTAGAAGTCCCCATTTGTTCTTGTATTGAGAACTGAGCTCAGTCTCACTCCCTCTTCTGACTGTCTTGACACTTGTGCTGGATTAACTACTGGTCAACTTGTAACACCCAGCTGACTTGATCAGTGAGGTGCAGGTATGGAAGGCCCACCTGAGGATTGTTGCCAGCAACACAAAAGAACTGGAGAAGAGGGGTGTGCTGGTTGTTCTCCTGGAGAAGCTTGTCCTGCTAGCTT